GAGGGGGAGGAGGAGGAGGAGGAGGAGGAGGAGGAGGAGCAAAAGCAGATGAAGAAGAGGAGGAGGAGGGAAATCAAGAAGAACAATTCAGAGAGAGAACGCAGAACTACCTGCTTGCCAGAGTACTACTCACAGGATCCCAAAGCACTGCATTCACAAGCATTTTAAACACATCCATTAGCCAAAAAGGATTCACAGAGAAGCAGCCAAGCACTGACACAAGTTCTTCATTTACTATCTTCCTCGCCCAGTGCGTGGCAATACATCCAGGCCTTCCTTCCTGCTCAACACCACAGACCTGTAGGCATCGCCCCAATGCCTTTCATCCCATTGTACCACGTGTCTCATCAGGGGGTTCGGGCAGAAAGATAGGACGCTCCAGCTTGAGGTGCTGAATATGAGAGGGCTCTCGCCTACCCTCTACACAAATATATATTCTTCTGATCGTCGTCATCTTCTTCCTGAACTTCCCCTTTCTCTGATTCTCCCTCTTTTCTACATTCTTGTCTCTCCTCTTCCCCTCCACTCTGCTCTTCATACTGTGTACCCTGTCACTCGCTACTCAATCTGGGCACTTCACAGTTCTCGAGTGATCATCATCCTTACGAGCCTGCAGAGCTACTCTGCTGCTCCATCAATGTTTTCTGATCTCCTCAATGTGCTGTGCTGTGTCATGCTCTGCACCTGGTCTCTTTTTCGGTACCCAGTTCTCAGACATCCTAGCTCAGGTGCCTTGAAAAAAAAAGAAAAAAAAGAAAAAAGAATACGCCCCATCTATTCTGGCGGCCAGCAATCCGGTTGCTTATCACCGGCAAGCATGGACAACAGAAGCGATAGAGCATAGAAGAAGCATGGCCTCATACCCCTGTCGCCCTAGTCGCGATGCAGGGGAGGCTGGAGGGGCTGCATGGTGCCACATGCCTGTCTTCCCCCGGGACTCACATAGTGGCTGGGAAACCTTTACCCAGTACCCAAACACACACCGTGCAGGTCCCCGAGGGGACAGGTTAGGGGCACCAGGCTGGACCTCCAGTCTCCAGGACTCCCCTCACGTTCATCCAAGGTCAAGTTCACTGCTATTCTCAATCCACACCCTTTGCTACTGATACCTCCCACCCTCAACAGATAAGCCGCCTACACCTCACACCTTCGCCTATTAAGGCCTCACTGCAACTCCATGGTCTCCAAATTACTACCATTCCTTTTCTTTTTTTCTTTTTTTTCAGCAGGTCCTTATGGTCCTGACTCCTTGTCCATTCTGGGGAGCATCAGTCCGGTTCCTATTCCCCCGGCAAGTCAACAATAAAATTCAATGAATAGATGGTGAACACCCTCATGCCTCCTTCCGTTTGGCCGAAGGATCCCTGACCAGCATTGATTGCTCCCTATTGGAGGATCGACTGTCAGCTTGCCCTTCCCTACTCTTCCTCACAGGCCCGTTTCCGGTCCTGTCTGATACAGCTTGACTTAAAGAGCATCATGGGACGTTACTACCATTCTATACTCCCCTAGATGCCAGATTATCCTCCTATATCCCTTCCCTAGATGCCAGATTCTTCCCCTGTATCCCTTGTACTCAAATGAACACAATGCTCACAATCTCCCAACTTTTCCTTTTATGTTCCTCCTTCTACACTATCCCCTCCCTCCCTCCCTTCCCCAATTTGCGGGGATGCCCCCCCCTCTCCCCACTACATGTCGGGCCTCTACTCACCATCATCTAATTCTACCGCTAACTATTGTACACAGTGACCAGGACCCTGCTCCTCCACATCCACCGCATATTTCTGCAGAGTCGAACCGAAGACCAGTCTGCCCATCGTAAGGTCTTTCTTGACCAGGCTTGAATAAGCTCCCCACACCCGCCAGAACTTACTATAATCACTCCCTGACTTCCGTCCGCATATCCAATATTCTACCAGGAGGGCTACTCGTAGGTTCTCTAGCGCCCTACTTCTTATGGCCGACATTGTAACCTCCTTCCCCTGTCTGATTCTCTCATTCCGAAGCGTCCATATTGCCCAGAGGACGGCACCCCTGACCACCTCTGCAGCGAACAGCCGATCCTTGTCCTCCCGGTCGACAGTCATCACCGTGCCAAGCAAGATTGCCGCATCATCCTCTTCACTGACCATCCATGGGGAGGGTTCCCTCATCTCTTAGGACCACCACCTACAAAATTTTGATACCTCCAAGCAGTGCACGAACACATGTGGAATGTTTTTTTTCCACCTGGCCACACCCCAGGACAGTGCATTTGTATGCCTGCTCTTGGTGGCCAGCCATTGTGCCATCGGGATGGCGAGGTGGTAGATCAGCCACAGCAATACGGACTGTTTTTTG